AACCAGACTCCAAGTTAGTCAAGCCTTCTTCTCTTACTCGGTGGCTCTTCCTGTCTTCTCTCTCTCTCTTATTCTATCCAGCAGCCAGGGAAAGCTGTGAAGTCCTCCTATCTGAAAAAACGCTGGGTTTTGGACCATTCTATCTGGTGTCCTGTAGTGATCATATTTTCAGCCACCTCCACATAGACACTACTACATGAGCACAAAACATTGTAATAACCTGATCTACAGAGTGCCTTTGTAGATTCTCTAAAAGAGGGCATGACTGAGAAAAGCATTAGTATTTTTTTATATATGGTTCTGACATTCCATTTCCTCTATAATTCACTTATTTCTTTCGAAAGCTGGCAGGACGGCGGTAACATTAAGAACCTTGATGAAGAGTTGTCTAATTACTTGATTTGTCCTAAATAATTGTTTCCTCCCACTTTATTTCTTAGTACTTCAAAATTATTATCAATTATTCCAAACATAGTATCGATCTCAACTAAGATTTTTATAAGCTTATCTAACCCTTGACCATAATGAATTAGTTAAGCTTGACGATAACTCTTTGCTATCATCTATCTCATTACTCCTATCTTAACAGCCCATGCATGATTTGAGGAGCGATGCAAAAGGAAACTCGAATTTGTAAGTCACATACCTACCCAGTTTGTTGCCTTTTTTAATAACTATGACATCAAAATTGGTAGTCTGATGTCTTTTTCTTACTCAACATTGGATTCAGTCGTCTTTTCTAATCTATTCATTAGCCTAAAGCAGTCTTCCAGACTCTCTTTGCCATGCTGCTAGATAGCAAAATAATCATTGACCTTTCTTGGTTTAATGTTTTTTGGTGAGTGTTCGTAAATAATAATTTCTGCCTATGGAAATGTCCGTCATATGATGGATAATAGCTAAGCACGGAGCCATCGGGGCCGTAGGACAGTGAGCAGAGGTCTCCTTTACACAATTCAACCGTCATAAGACCAAGACGACCCTCCTTCGGCATCCGGTATGGCCCTTTCATCCACCTTCTCAACCGAAATGAAAGGTATGCCAGTATCAAACTTTAGTGTTAGTTCTCTCACGTGAATCGACCTATGGTGACTGTATCTTATTAAAGGGCATTCTGATAGTTTTATAACTTTTTCATTTTGTATGTGGTTATGTCGTCAAGCCTATTGGCAAATACAATTCTGTCTTATTGAGACTATTTTAACTAAAACATAAATTGGGAGATACCTGGCCTGCCTTAGCATTTACAAATTATGTGTGACCCACTGGCATTCGGGCTTGTGTGGAGGAGTGCTGTTTGGCGCTCACTAATTCCTTTCAAATCCATTTTTGGCGCAGTTAAGGCCTAGTCTAGGCAGAAACTGCGGTCACTTTCCGGGAAACTAGGCTAAGTAAACTTTGAGACTATCGTGATGCATCGTGAAAGCTCACTACCGGTCCTTTCATCACCTTGAGCGAAATGAAGTATGGTACATGGCAGTTCACGAGTATCAAGTTATCTTGATCAAGTACTGTGGCTAAAGCATGAAAAAGTGTTATTTATAGAATACAAAATGATATGTGAGATTCTTTCCTGACTTTATAGCTTAAAGATTCACATTCAATTAACATTAAGTTGAAAATGGCCAATATTCCGATTCATTTACATGCTGTGAAATAAAGTAACTTACTTCTACTCTTAAACTCAAGCTTTTCATTTATTCTGTCGATCCGGAATAAAAGCTTTCACCCAAGAGTCATTTACCATATACTCATTTGGAGCTTAGTGCTGGCTAATCTGTCTCCTTCCATGCATCTTAGGCATAAATTAGCCTCGTACTCGATCCAGCAGGCGAGAGTCATGCAAATCACATCGAAGGTGAGACACTAAGATGGCGTTGTTTTGCAAACTGCTTATAGAAGCGATTCTTTGGGCCACTGTAATGAGATATTCACTATTATGCACATGCGAATCTGCCAGTGTCGGTAGGGCAGTGAATAAAACACCAAACAATGCAACACGGCTTTACTAGACCTGTATAAAGCACGGTCCGGACGTAATTGGCATTTAGGAGAAGGATAGGATGCAGACACAGAAGGATGACAGCCCAGGTTTTCGTGGACAGGCTGGACCTGGCCTCGATCAGCCGTTGCCTCAATTTTCTTACCAAGTTTTCAGTGATACCACTGAGTCTCCTGGCAAGGGCCTCACATCAATCCTAGGCACCCAAAGTGATTCCATAGCTTCCAGGTTCTCCAGCACTGTTGGAGGAGGTAGCGAGCAAAAGGCTTTTAGGACAAATATGCAATCCCGGCTGGCCAGTATCCGTGACGGAATGGAGCGCATGACAAGTTTCATGAAGCCCACTTCTGCGTCTTCTGCCTCAATCTGCAGCCAGCAGGGAATTTGCGCAAGGTATTGGCTGATTACGCCCTGCTTGTTCATCATCCTCATTCTGGTCATCACTGCACAATGGGGCATACTGGCTCACTGGAAAGCAACTCGTGAAGGTCAGTGCATAACCAAGGCCTGTCTGCAATCCGCCGCTCAACTACAAGGCGCTCTGAACAATTCAAAGGACCCTTGCGACAACTTCTTCGCCTACGCCTGCGGCCATTACTACCGACCACTTGAGGCGGAGCCACCGACCAGCCAAGACATGCATAAAGCATTCTCATTCAGTTCAGTGCGCAATCATGCAGCCTATCTGCGCATGCGCTCACCACTCACCATGACTGTC